TGGAGGCGATTGGATATTGCAAATCCGACCCCATGATCACGTGGTGCTGAGGCGGTGTTGCCCACCCAGTAGAATGTGTAGCCAGCACCTGCTTCATGCAACTTACCTTGCTCAGCGAGCCGAGTTTCACTGAGCGCCGCAATATCGATGTTGTAGCGCGCCAGTTCCATCGCGACCAGTGCAGTGCGTCGCTCCGGGCGCTCGCTGGAGTTCCGGTCCAGTAGTGTGCGCACGTTCCAGCACCCGATGCTGAGTGCTTTGCGCGCAGGCATACGATTGCATTGGTGGGCAATCGCACGCGAGATGGTCGTTGTGCTTCGGAGGTTTGCTTGAGGGACTCCACCCGGAGCCTTTGGCTCAATAGCCTGACCCACAAGGCAGTGGGGAGCAGATCCAGCTCGGGAATGTGATTGCAGAGACAGATTGGGATCTGCTTGACGGCCGTCACACGCAGCCTTGGAGGTACTGGAACGATTTTTGTATGTTATATATATATATATATATATATGAACTATCTTGCTTTCTTCTTGCCCCACTTATCCCGCCGTAAGTGCAACTATATGGCCTCATAAAGACGGTTTCCGGTTTACGAATGTCCTTTCCAAGGACAGTGAAAGGTGTAGAACTATTGAGGTTATGGATTGTCCCATGTACCCAGGCAGTTAGGTTGCATGGTTTGGTGAGTTTAAGGTGGTTAACTAAAGTGCTTTTTACAAGAAGGTTGTTACGGCGTACTACGGCATACCTCTCTTTGCTGAATGTTAGGGAGCCCCCCGCCGGTAAAGGATGAAGGACAGTGCAGTGGTGTGTGCTGCCCGCCGTACATTGAAAACCCCTCTTCGCTCGTTGATGATTGTGATATATATCTCACATCGGGTTAGAAAATCAAGTAATTATTCGGAGTTCGCTAGCTGCAGCTTGATAACAAATCCTTCGGCGCTGCATCGGACTTCGATCTTGGTCCTGCGTCGGCTGCACTGTCCTGCCTAAATTCTTGACTAGTTCATTGATCATCTGACTCAAATACCTATTCTGCTTATAATGCACTTGCTTAGGTCACATCCCCGGTTAAGCAACCGACGGAGCAGCCAAGTAACAGAGCGCCCGGGCAAAGGAACGGATGGGTTTATACGTGCCGCCCTTCTGCTTGGTGACATTGGAAAGAGCTATATTGGTTGTAGGGATGTTATGTCGACCCCGCAGGTGCTTCCACTAACCAAAAGTAATGAAAAAACGAACGAGCAGGAATATGACTGAAAGGTATTTTTATAAGCTAACGGCGTTATGCAGGTAGCGCGAAAGCTGAGAGGAGTGTGGCTGTAACAGCCAACCATTATCATCATCCTTATACATGTTAGTTTCGGGTGGAAAACGCTTCCGTTATTGTGCCACGATACAAAAGAAAAGAAAAAACTTTAAACTGAGGCACGCCGGCTGAGTCACCAGTAACGGATGGACATCATTTCGGAGAGCCAACAGCCGGATATTATGCCGCAACGTAGTCATATTCGCCATAGTAATTGAAATCGTAGCTGGAGGGGGAGGTTAAGCGGGAGGGAAGGGACCAAGAAACTCCAACACAAACCCCAGTAAGGTCGGCTCTTCGTCATGGCAGCAAGTGTGCCAAACCAAACGTGTTCATTGTCCTTAGGACCCCAGCCAGGCAGTCGGGATGCACCAACCGACGCCAACTTCGAAGTGAGGGTTTTTATTTCTCTCGACCAAGTCATCACTTGGCCTCCCCTCCTCCTCTTCCAACCGCACCCACAACGCGCAAACAATGCACGTCGCGGGAGTCGGTGTGCTGGCAAGCGCAACACGTGGCCCAGCCATCGGAGCGTGGTGCGTGATATCATGGTGCTGAGCGGTTCACTCGCTCTTCCTGCACCAAATACGCGACGTCGCACACGCTCATTGCTCGCGCGGTGCTCCCACCAGCCATGTGCTAAGCTGAGAAAGCAGAGATGATTGATCGTGGCTAGCCTCATTATATCCGTCGACCTGATGGGTGAAGTTTCACAATCGTATAAGGGTTGAACCGACGGCTGCATTATGAACTCGGCCCTTTAGGGCGAGATTGATGTCGCGTCTGCGTCACAAATGGCGAAGATTGGCGAAAGCACCTCGAGCTTTTGCTATACGGTTCGTAACCTCATCTACGATCCCACGAACGCTAATATAGCTGCCCAGGTAGTTGAATTCCTGAACAGCTTCTAGCTGATCACCACCAAGGGTCAGCACAGGGGTGGATCCCTGCCAGTCTTGCAAAAGTTTGCAACTCGATGGGGCAAAGCCTAGCTCAAAACGAATGACAACTAGTACTGATCGCTCCAGTGCTGCCTGGCACATTTGGTCGCCGTCACATATGAGGGAAATGTCGTCCACATACTCCAAGTCACCATGAAGCAGCTCCACACTTACTAGGTAGTGTCCAGCGAACGCTGTTTCCATGACTTCGTCAGTAGCGAACTTAGAGAGGGAAGGTGACAGCGGGCAACCCTGTCTCACACCGCTGGAGATACTGAAGGACGGCGACAGTTTGCCATAAACCCCCCCTCTGCCCGAACTATGAGCATACAGCGTTTTGATAATTTTAACGTATTTGTCGGGCACACATTTTCTGAGCAAACAGTTCCAAAGCGCACATCAATCCACCGAATCGAAGGCACCTTTGATGTCGAGAAACATAATAGCGGTGGGTCGCCATTAAACATGGAGGTGCTCCAACAATTGACGCAAAGTAAAGATGTGCCCTATACACTTCACTTGGTATGACAGTATAAAATTCCTCATGTTTCACGGTGTAAGCGTCAGGAAAAGCAGGTTATTTGGGGATAGAGTTATGGTAAACAAAAACTCTGTCTTTAAAGCTAGTGTTAGATCTTGATCAACGCGTTGTTCATTCGACAGGGACCACTAGCTTTGCATTGTCGTCGTCATCATCATCATCATCAACAGCAGTACATCAGCCATTTGAACTGTTGCTTCGCTGCCATACAACCTTGAGGAACTATGAAATAACGAATAAGAAGAGGGAGAGAAAGGGGGACTTACCTGAAAACCTAAATGTCCTAAGCAAACGTTCTGGGTCAAGGCGCCTACACCTTGTGTTAACAACATACCGTCACAAACAGCTGGCTATCGTGCAAAAATAAGGCGGCATCGGCGAGACAGCTTCCTTGCGGCTTTCACTGCCCCGCGTCATAATCAGCCATTACCCCGCAGATAACTCAGCACCAAACACACATTAAACAGGCAATCCGATTAGAAGACGGCAGCAAACGCGCCACTGGTGTCTGTTGCGAGCGATACCCTGCAAAGTCTCGAGCCACATGGACTCCAACTCGGAAGGCGAGACGGACCAACGGCACCCAGTTTGGTTGTCAGCGACTTCATTTCCCGCTGTCAAGTCAAATTCTGTCCACCTCGAGCCTTGCGCCATCCTCTACCTGGTAGACTGAACAAGGCCCTCCTAGGTAAGCGGTGACCAGGCATGCGTAGCACGTGCCCGAGCCAACGCAACTTATTCAGTGCTAACTGTTGTTCTTGGGAGCTAGCATGATTATCACCACCTAATACATGCCTACGCACATCATCGTTGCGGACACGCTGGTGCCATCCGACACCAGCAATGCTTCGCAAACAACGATGATAAAAGACTTGAAGGTGCCTCAGATCTTCAGACCGAAGGGGCCAACTTTCACTAAAATTGTCGTCGTAGACTGACTGCATTATTGTCGGGAACCAAAAACAAGTTCAGTGCCAAGTTGCTATTTCAACAGTGGGTCAAAACCGGCAGAAGAGGTTATCTGAGCATCTGCTGCACAGCAAAGACAAACTAGGTTTGTACTGTATTCAGTTTTTGCATAAACCCTCTTTATAGTTCCCCAACACCGGTAGATATATTGTTTCAGTATACCTAGTCGGTAGTTTGGTTAACTTTCCTCTATTGGCGCCACTACTCGGTTCGATTATAGATATTACGGTCTGTGTGATTTATTGCAAACTGACCAACGCGTATCTTCAGTTCACATATTGTCAGTGATACTGAGCGTAAGCCTGAGAAGCTTGGACATTTTTCCCCTCCAAAACATTTGTTTCTTGCTCATTCTGTGGCTTCAGTTGTTCACCCATTCTGTTCAAGCGTTGCCATGAAGTCCGGAGCCAAAATGGCTTTGTTGTCCCATGCATACAAGGTAGGGAGGCGATTTGTGATGTAGTTAGGCAACTCCTGCAGTAGCCCGTTATATCCAAATAAAGGTATTGTAAGATGGTTATACCATTGGGTGGCTTTGGCAACAGCAGTTATAGTGGCTGAAGGGATTGATAAGAGCTATCGCGGAAATTGCTACCAGGGTGAAGTGTGGACTTTTTCGAACTTGAACCCAAAAGGTGTAACGATTATTACTCCTTTACCCGTGATCCGTTTCAGCTCATCGTGACTACGGAGATAGCGCGATTTATCGCCCAAACGGCCTAGTAACGCCACGTGTAGAGGGCGCTGACAAGGTACGAGTACCTTCACTCACCCTGGCTAATCTGAAGCACCCAGCAGAATCAACTCTAATTGGTAAAGCCGGTATTTACCTGCTTAAAGCCAATAGTGGGAAAATTGTGGCATCTCTCGTGCTCCACCTAACACAACGGTATGTGAATTCAAGGGCTTTTCTGTACTGGATTTTTGTACGTCTATGACAGAGACAGGGTTCCGTTAATGAGCTGACCAGTCTCTCTGTGGTGCATCAAAGTTGGTTGTTGCAATCTGCTCGTAACTCTTTGAGTTCTGTGTTGTATAAATCATGGATTGAGGAGTTCCACAAAAAACGTAGGAAGAAAGTAAGTGAATTTTCGAAATTTGAAGGCTGACCAATGCCAATTCCTGCTGATCAATATAACATAGTTGCGTGGTTCCTACCTACAGCAGCATATGCAAGCCACAATTTCGTTTGACTGAGAGCCCTTCGGTTATTTACCTCCTTTGCTCTTTGTCTTCAATGCAGCGTCTCTCAGCGGGGAGAATTGTTCGCCAAATTGTCTATGTGCCACAGACGTTTGATCCAGTGGTGGCCACGTACTACAAGGACCGTCGCATCGAACGGATCGAGAACTTCTGTTCGTGTCGTGTTCGTCTGCTCAATCCATCGCATCCTCGAGCAGCATTTTGTCCTCCGGACTGTCGTACTCTTCAAGTCGACTTTGATCCGGTCCGCGGTAAGCACGTGGGCTTCTTGGACCTCCTCAACCGATGTCTACACCCCAAGCATTGTTACGCACGCATTGCAGCCACAGTGATGCGTCGCGCTAATGGGACGGAACTGGAATTGAAGGGACACGAAGTGGTGGACTTGAGGTTTAGCGAACCCCGACCACGATTGGCGGAAATTCGTGCGGACATTTGCGCTGGACCGAAAAAGCGCATATTGGCCCCCGGAAAGGGCGCCGATTCGGACGTGCTTTCAAAATCTACTCTCGTTTGAGCGTTCCCTCTTTGACGCTGACAGCTGTCATCCATACTTTCTCATTATCATTTTGTCTCATTACGTTGCGTATCTCGGTCATTCATTTTCGGTCCTAAGTGAATAGACCCCCTTCATGTCCGTTTTACAATATCTTGTCTGATTACTCGCTGGATGGACTCAGTACAGGGCATTCTTTTTGGTGGCCAGGGGCAACTTTTACTCCAATGTAGCCAAGTACGGTGGTGTGACGAAATTTTCCAGTATGGAAACCCATATCAAGCGTGCTAAGTGCACAATACGCAATGACTGGCACAGCGATTCAGCCAGTGACCACAAATGTGCCTTCGTAGATGGCCTGGAGTTAGGTGCAACGCTACAGAGTCAGCCTGGAAAACTAACGATTCCTTTTGGCTTGTGCAACGATTGCCACTCAAACCCGTAAACACATTATTATTAAGAGAAATAAACAGAGCAACCAGCATTAAAATAGTGTGTTATCTAGCTTGTCTACCTATTAATCATATACTCAACGTTGTACTGTCCTAGGCCAAGAAAATGAGAAATTGTGATATCGAGGACGGGATATTTTAATGGCCTATCCAGCCCTAAGTGCTCCAGTATTGCCCTATTTCTCATGTTACTGAGTACCCGATGGAGAGGGTATGGGATTTGATGTGCTCTGGAAATGTACATACTGTGATGGACCAAAAGCAGGTGCTACTGTGCTACTTGTCTGCACTATATAAGCGACAGGAAAACCAAACGGTAGCATGTCAATAGCGGATTATACCTACGTTAGAACAAAAGAGGAAAGCTTCAGGGTCGCAGGTGTATGCGCACTAGAAATGGATACAGAAGCAATATGCGTCATGGAATCTCCAAGAGAAAGTGCGTAGATGGGTGGAACGTTCGTTGGTCAGAGCAGATGCCTATGACTCATGAGTTTTCCATAGTTAACAATTCGACCTGCACCTTGAACACTAGTAATGAGGTCAGGCCAATTTACCACAGAATGTATCTGTAGCAATAGCACCAATTTCAGTCTACCAACCAAGTAGCAGGCGCCAAAGAGTTTGTTTTGTTCCGAGCAAGTAAACCGGTCTGTGGCGATTACCTACAGCCCGGCTGTTTATCTAGCATGAGAATGTGGGTTGTTGTATCCCGGTAAGCATACTAACGCTACGTGCAAATAGTGCCCTGTAGCATTATAAGGTACACTCACGAGCAAAAAAGAACACCTGGGTGGCACGCGCACATCAATGTCTATTCCGGCAAAGGGATTCAGTCTGGGTAAAGGTGTATCGACTTTGTTAGCGGGCGCTCGATAATCACTCATCCAATCAGTAGAGAGCAGCATTGGGGTTTATTGTGTCTTCGAAACAAATCGTCGCAGCTAGGCTCAGATCCATCACAGATTATCGAAAGCGCTTTCATGGATATGTGGTAACTGCCTGGCTGAAGCTGGCCGTAAAGAACCTCCAAAAGTCATCTAATCAGTTGTAAGCTGTAGGAAACGTATGTGCATGTTGTGACAGGAATAGCAAAGAACGCTCAAACCATTCTCTCTCTGAATGAGCGCATCACAAAGAGCTGCGGCTTGTGCGACTGGACTCATCGCTTGAGACATCATTTCTAGACAGTGTTCGATTGAAGAGGTGTAAACCTTTCCTGGCGTTGACTATGAGGCCGTCTGCATGCTGATACATTCCTGGTCGTAATGTCTGTTTGATACTGATGGGGTATGATAATGTTGGTCTTTCTTTGACGGTTAGCCTTTCTCTCAGCCGGATGAACGTTCCGTGATGCAGTGAGAAAGCCAACTCTCCTTAAGTAGACTGTTATCGCCAGCCACACCTAAGCTGGTGAGGAGCACTGCTTTCGGAGGCCAACATACCTACGTTTAATTTCGTACACAACGCCCTGCCAAACATTAATTCCTCTGATGTGTGATCGGCGGCTGTATAAAGGGAGGTTCTGTGTGTAAATCGCGCTTCAGTCACGGTATTTCCTAATGCATACCGGACACGAGCAGTATGTATACTTCTGGTTATTGAAAGATTTGTACGCTCAGACATGCTGTTGACAGCTGGGTTGAACGGATCATTTCATACGTGATTCACATCATGAAGTATTGGGATAAGACAGAACTAGGACTTGGCGAATTGTTGTCCGTTGCAATTTCTTTTACTTTTTCTGTACCTTCCTCTGAGTTCCATGGTTTCTAATGGCTCTATGTCTATTCGTACACGCAGTTGGACTAAACGAACTTACACCTAAACTAGCTCTTTCTAGGCAGAATAAATTGCATTTCACTTTATTTGCTTTGTTCTTCCCACCTGAATAATTTTCTATTAACTTGCATTTGTTGGGTACGCTTATTGTGGTTATGTTCGTTAACTTTGTCGCGTTTGGGGCATTTTTTGTACAATCTGTGAATATGTTGTACCTGTCGCTTATTCATTGCTAACCAACTTACTCCCGAAGGAATAAGACCGGAGGCCTGCGGATAGGAGCCACGTTTCATCAACGGAGCTGGCCCACACTCCTTCACAGGCAAACACAAGCACGCTGCATTTGGGAATAAAGCGCGCACAAGGCGGTGGCTGGACAGTAGTCCGCTCCACACTGAGTGCATGGAACCACCCTTTGAGCCTAGCACGACCAAAAGGGTCGTTCACGCCGTCCCCTCCAGCAACGACCAACTGTCTCCTGGAGCCAGTATGGACGAGGTAGTGGGTAATAGACAGGTAGGCACCTTGTCAAAATGCACATCAAGCGCAGCCACACCGGGGATGTCAAAGAGCAGCCAATCACATGAAATGACATGATCGAATAAAATATATCTGTTAAAGCATACAACTATGCAGACATAACTCATCGCTGAATTAGCATGTGGAGTAAGTCCGTTAGCTACGAATCCGCGATAAGTACATAATGTCCAAACGTTACTCAGAAAATGCTGCAAAGACAATAAGGTTAACATAGATAACCACGCTTAGCTTAGGCAACGTGGCCAGCTAATAGAAGATTATTCAGGGAGGCCGAACAAACCAAATAAATGAAATTTATCCAGCTCAAAATACCTACTTTAATTGTAAGTTTGTGTAGCCCAACTGCGGTGGGCACGCATCATGAATACAGCATCAGCCTCAGCATGGAGCACACATACATACATGGTTGGCGGCATCCCGTTTCGGATTTGCATCTCACTGTGGCCGGCCACAGGACGCCTGCGCCAATAAAGGAATCATGATGTTTTGTGCTGCACCACCCACAGGGAGACAAAATCTAGCAAACAGCTACTTCAACCACCATAGGACGGTTGAATGGCTCAGGTCAGCTGGTGGCAGAGTGGTCTGCGTGCTCTGTTTGCAACCCTAAGGTCGCCGTTTCGAATCCGCGTAGGATAGGGCATCTTCGCGGTATACTTAGCCCGCGCGCGACTGGTGGTGGTTGCGCGGCAGCGAAGCGCCGTTACGGTGTACAGCAGACACAGTATTTGCGATAGAGAAGCAAATGTTGGTAGCATGTTGGAAGCATGGTATTCTACCGACAACTCAATAAACCGACGCGTTGAAATAGATGCTATATATACAGCGCTACGGATGCAAGATCACCGAATTAGTAGCTTAAATCGAACAGAACAGAACGCCAGACAACTGCATCAAACGACGACAACCGAAAAGGCACGCTCGTGTACATTATGAGGTGAGAATCTGAGATCGGTTTCGATGGTCATGTGTTTGTCGAACAATCCAAACTCAGACTAGCGGCTAGAAGATCGATTACTCACACTCACTGACGCTTCGTACGTGCCGCTTTGCTAAATAAACGCGCACTGACGATGTCACCTCGAGTGGTGACGAAACGTTTGCAGTCAAACTGCCGAGCTCAGCGAACACTCAGACACAGTAGTTCTTTTTATAATCGCCTCAAAAGGTAAATCTCATAAAATGAACTGCACAAGCATGCAGCTGCGAAACAATTTCTCAGGTGCTGTGGAGCCGAATGGAACATAATCCCATAACCTCAATCGTCTCATTAGATAAACGGTAGATCGATCGGGTTTATCCATCGGTGTCGAGTTATTGTCGGCTTTCTGACACGCTTCTCAAGATCAGACTCACGCCTTTACCATTTTAGTCATCCTCGGATACATAAAGTGTTCTTGAAACTGACGCTTCATTTGTACAATTCCAGGATATCCCTCTTGTGCTACTGGATACTTTTGATGTTAGTTCCTGTTTGGCCACGAATCTCGATCCTCACCTGACGCAACCAGCAATGGCCGCGGGTTTGCACCGTACAGCATAAAAAGCGCAACTTTCACTGCTGTGCTTCGTGTAGCGAGGTCAGCCTGAGGTGGCAGTGGGTAACAGCTTGTACATTGGTGTCGCTTTGGTTGACTGCAAAGCGCGCATTTGACTGTGAAGCGGAACTTAGTAAGATTTCCTTGCAGTTCTCCTGCTTGTCTGCATCATCCAAAAGAAGACGGAATAAGTTATCCTTGGCGGAATATAATTTGAAACCCATAACTCAGTACATGAGCATAATAGCGATTAATCCGCAGTGATCACTGGCTATCAGATGATGAGACTAGTTAGAGAAGCGTAATATGTACGCAGTGTAAATCTCCGACCGAATAGGAATAAGTGCTATTTGTCACTGGCTTGGACACAAGCGGGGGACTCTCTCTCCCTAGTGGTGTGTGAAATTTCTGTGGGGCGTATATTCCTAGAAGCGTTTATTATCCGTTCTGCCTCTGAGACCCAACCGCTCCTAATCCAATGTTTGTGCAGTCCCATCGTTTTGCTGTCCTATACTTTCGATTTCCTCTTCACATACGCGGTGCTTGCGGACATGATCGCACATATCCGACATGGATTTACCAGCTTCATACAGCGGAGCTATTGTTATACGTGTATCCTCTACAAACCGCCAGTTCACCCGCAATTTCTGTTTTCGCAGCAAATCTGCGGAAGCACACACATAGAGTACCCATTTTTCATGCGCACACCCAAACGTTTAGCTAAATTCGAGATAACCCTCTTAGCGCCTCTCAGTAAGCCTAAGTAAAGAATTTTGTGATTTCCGTTTGGAAACTGCCGATGTTTTGTTGCAATCAGATTCACGCCACACAGTCATT